TGTGAATGAGTATTCCGCAGTCGGTAGCGCCCGACTGCAACGTTCTTACTTGTTAAGTTGTTCGTTTACGTTTCTCACCCTTGCTTAAATCGATTGCTATTCTTTTCTCTCTTCATTTTCACTAATGCTTATTACTATTCACTTAGTTTCTTACTTCTGTATTATCTTCGTGCTGAACTCTTTCATTTTTCCCTCTATTTCATCTGTGTCTGGCCCTCTGTTCGATTCATTCTCGCTCTTTCTCTCTCTCTCTCTCTCTCTCTCTCTCTCTCTCTGTTTCTAACCCATTCTCTCTCCATCTCACTCTCGCCATCCATTGCCCTCTCTCTTTTTGTCCTTCTTTCTCTTTAACTGTATATACGTACATACTATCTTCCTCTATTTATATCTCTCTTTCCCTCTTACTCTAACTCAGTTTCTATATTGCTCTTGCTCCCTATCTCTCCCGCTCTGACTCCTTAAATCTCATATAACTACAACTCTTAAATGGACTTCCAGCTTGACATCAAAATCTTCCAAATTAAGTTGAATTCATCAAAACATTGACATTTTTAAGATATTTACTCCCTCGCCGGGTTAGGCCTCCAGGAATGCGGGTCCATTAAAACAAGGGGAAAAAAAGGCAACGGGTCATAGCTCCTGCAGCTTGTTGACATGACGAATAGTCAGTGGCCAGAGCACAGTGTAAGGCTCAACATTTGCTGCATAAATTCCGAGGCTAAAGCCTTGTCACTCACATAATGTCTATGCTGATCAACCAATGCTCACACACACACACACAGTCTCGCATAGGCAAACATGTGTTGCTGGAGCGGCATTTGTCAAGTTTGTGAAAAAGTTTTTCAGCTACAGTCGCCGCCCGCCGTAACTTGAACAAAATTGTTCTTCTCCTCCTTTTTTTTTCGGCTCTGCAAATGATATTATGAGGGGTATGATGAGTCGATGTTGTCGACAAAAGCCAACACATGTCAAAGTTAAAAATAATACATGAGCCTGTGTGGCAGCAGCAGGACTGTGAATTGGCGGCCGGACAGGGAGAAGCGACAGCAGCAGCAGCAGCAGCAGCAGCAACACAAAAGAAGCAATTGTTGTTGCTGTTGTGCTTGGCCAACTTGAAACTTTTGTTGAAGCGTTAAAATGCACGCAAAATGGAGTACATACTAGCACATATGCATAAACACGTACACACACATACACACACTGGAAGCTGTCAAATGAGCGTGTGCTGACGTCACAAACTCACGCACCGGAGCCTAGAGAAAGTTAAATAATTGTTTGTGTCATTTGATGATTTCCTTTAACAAGGCAACACGGCTAACTTTTTGCGCAGCTGTCACATACAGCCGTACACACATGCTCAAACACACGCACTCACACACACACACACACACAAACTAGCTGGAGATGAGCTACGGCGCGAATTGGAACAACGTCTTTCTCTATGAATATAAAAAGGCATATTAAAAAATATTTCTAATAGGCTTACATTTTCGCAAAAAATTTTATTTATTTAATTTATTTTTAATTAAATAAAAAAAAATTGTCTTAGAATTAAAATTATTTTATATTTTGAGGATACAAAATTATTGAGGTTTTTTCTTTTTTTTTTTAATTAAATAAATTCAAATTAATTTGATATCAAGCATAAACAAATCTTTTTAAAAATATAAATTAATTTAAACAAGTTCCCATTAGACTTAAAATTTGGAAAAATGTAAAAAACAAAATTTAACAGCAATAAAATTAAATTTATATAAATATAGAAAATATAAACAACAGTTTTTATAATTGAATATTTATTGTTGTATTTTTAATAATCCAAAATTAAGTGAAAAATAAAATAAAATAAAGAAATAAAAAAAAAAAAACAAACAAATTTTAAAGAATAAATAAGGCCAGCCATGTGATTAAATATATTTTTATTTAAATTTTCTTCAGATTTTTCTTACGAAAATATTAAGTATAATGCTCAAAATATATAATAAAAATATTAAAAAAAATACAATCTAATAAAAAAGTATTTTAGTTAATAAAATTCGCACTTATCCTTTACTAAACAAAAAATGCTTTCAAACTAAATTTACCTATCACAATTAAAAGTTAAGTTTTATTATTTCCAAGCATTTTAAATTGTTTGTTTTATGCATGTTTGACAAAACATAAGCTAAAATGTAAGACTTTTTCCATTGATTAGTAAAGTATAGGCCATCCATATATACCAGATAAAATGGAGCCTAATTGGATATCTAGTAATTTCTAAAATATATAGTACATTCAAATATTGTGACTTGCTCAACGAACACCGTTAGCTACGTGCCTTCGTACTACGTTCACCAGCTGAGAAGAGTCTGAGTTCACCTGTTACTTTCACAGACTTTGACGTTAAACCGTGACAGGTCGCCTAGCTAAGTTTCTAGCATCTCTGACGGCCCCCCTTCGATTTGTTTAAAGTATTTGATGTAGAGCGCATGTGTCGGCTGCCTTTTGCATGCTGCCTATTTTGTCACTTTGTCTCACAGCCTGTCACTTCCGTGGCCGACATGTTCGCACAGCCGTCTTTGGTTTCTAATGCGAGTACACATGGCTGGCGACACGGCAGCAACATGACAGCGATGCCAATGTATGGGATGATAATGCCAAACGCACACACACACAGAGACACTCACATACACACACTCGCATAATTGTGAGCCGGATAAGTTCTCGGTGTTTTTGGCCTTGTGGCAAAACTCGCGGCCGACGCCATTTTGGCGTTTTCTTTCCATTTCGCATGCGGCTGGCAAAATGATTAATTAAATTTATCACATCGTCGTTGCTGGCGCTGTTGTTGTTAATTTAAATGTCGAAATTGTGACAAGACACATTAGGTATCTCTTGTTACAAGACGAGCTCTTCATCTATTTGTCTATCTCTATCTCTATCTCTAACTGTGTCTCTATCTCCATCTCCATACGTATCTGTATCTGACGCAGAGCAGCCGCAAAAAGTCAACGGCTCGAGAGGAAAATGTTGCGTTAATTAGTCAACATAACGAAAGCTCCCAAGGACCAAACAGCAATGCGACAGCCAAATGTTTATACAACTGATAGTTTTGCTGTCTCACTATATAAGTATGCCATGCATACACACATAAATACATTTGTATGTGTCTATTTGTCGAGCTATAATTAATCTAGCGAAATGCCACAGTTGCTGTCCAAATTTAATGAGCGGCTTGACTCGAGCTCCCAAATGCCAGCGGCACATTGCAAATGAGCTCGGCTCAGCCAAATCTATCTTAATTGGCCTTCGATTAGGGGACTCAACTATAAATTCTATTAGCTCCTATTAAATTGCATATGCATATCGAACTGCTATCATATTGATATCACAGGGCGAAAAAGTGTCGCAAATCTCGTGGATTTAGGTTAAAGACTTTTAATATTTATTCATGCATTTTTATTTATCTCCTCCTAAATAAACTTCATTGGACATTATGCACTGGGACTGGATATTTACAGAAATATATATATATATATAAATATTTTATATTTCCTCTATTTACAGTAGAGTACAGTACAGTAGTACGCTCAAGGGACCGTCGTTATACCCGGTAGACGTTATAGCCGTATAAATTTGCTTACATAACTTTGTCTAAGGATCAGAATTTCGGTCGCCTCAACCCGACGCTATAAGAGGAGTCGTTAAAGCCGATTTCTACTGTATTTTAAAGATTAGAGCAGTTATTTGATCAGCTACTTTCAATCTACTCTGTCGATGAATCGAAGTGACAAATCAGAATAAACAAGTATCTTCTATTGGCGCTGGCGCTACAAAATGGAGCGCGCTTACCTGGCCAAACCAAAAGACGAATCAACTGCCCCTAGAAAGCCATTAAAAACTACGCAGTGATTACTTGGGTAACATTTGACCATCGAGCACTACCCGTATAATATTTAACAATAATAATTTTGTCATTTGACTAAGGGAAGACCATTGCATAAAAGCATGAGAATCGCAAAGAAGGGCGGTGTTGAAATGAATTTTCATTGCAGCCGCAGAGGCTTCACTTGCAGCGAGAGTCCATTCAGCAGCTAACTCAAATACGTGAAAGTGTAAAAATGTTACGATAAACAAAAATTCTAGTCTGTCTTTCGCTCAGCTCAGATGTGATTGGGAAATTCAGGGGCCCATAGACTTACCGAGCAATGTGTAGGCCAACAGCAGCATGCAGATGCCCAAATTGGTGAGCAGAGCGGACCAAACCGTTTGAGCCGTTTGTTTGCGTTTCTTGGATTTGGTGGAATAGCCGGGCGGCGCTTTGGCCTCCGATGCGCTGGGCCCCGAGCCGAAGCAGGCGCACCAGCCCTGGCGTCGGGCGCGCTGCTGCGACTGCCCAGCGGACGCCGTCGATGGCGGCTCTTTGCGTGTCGGCGCCGTATTTGCCACCAGCTGGAGGGGCAGCAGCTTGGCATTGCTTTTGAGTGTGCCGCAATTGCTGTTAATGGAGCTGCTGGCGCTGCTGGCCAGGTTGGGCCCGGTGGCCGGTGGCAGCAGCTCGGTCACATAGCCGATGGTCGAAGGTGTTGGGTATTTAAGTATGCCGGCTGGCTGCGTCTGTTGCGATGCCGGCGGCGGCGGAGGCTGCTGCTGCTGCTGTTGCTGTTGCTGTTGCTGCTGCTGCTGCTGTTGTTGCTGTTGCTGCTGTTGTGTTGCTACTTCAATGTCCTCCAGCGTTGGCATCGGCAACAGCTGCGTCGGCAACTGGGTCTGCAGCTGGGCCGGCGTCGTCAGCGACATGGTCGTCAGGGAGAGGGGCATCATTGTTGTCGTTGGCGTTGGCTGCTGCGTCGGCTGCTGCGTAGGCTGCGAGAGCAGCGTTGACGGCGTCGTAGTCGGGTTCGTCATCGTAATTGGGATTAATTTGGAAGGGGTGGGCGTTTGGATCAAAGGGGAAGTTGAAGATGTCGATGCTGGGATCGGGTTCATTGTCGTCGTCGTCTTGAATGTGCTTGTTGAAGGCGGCGTGGACAGCAGCAGCGGCAATGTCGGCGTGCCGGCCCCGACGCTGGATAAGTTGGAGAGTACGCCAAAAGAACCGTAACTGCTGGTCGACGTAGGCGGGATGCCGCCATAGCCCAGACTCCCCGCTGCCCCATAGCTGTCTCTCTCCCCGCTGTAGTCGCCGCATGTAACTCTCTGCGACGCAGGCGGCGGCCCAGATGGCATCTGCATTGTTTGGTCCGAATTCATCTTGCATTTGTGGTGCTGGTGTTTGCTCCTGGCGTTCGGTTACCTACAATCGATACAAGTTCATAAATATATCATAAATATCATAAATATATCATAAATATATCATAAATATATCATAAATATATCATAAATATATCATATCCTTTACATAGTCAATATATAATTCAATAATATTCAACTAGCAAAAATATTTGTTTTCATCCAAATTTGGATGCAAAATCGATTGAAAGTTTCCCAGGAGTTACTAAACGAGAGTGATACTTTTTGAATTTTGTTTAGTTTAGCATATAATCGCCTAAATTTAGCTATTGAAATATTAAAATTTTGGCTGAATAAATTTGTCTGAAATTTCCCTTTAGTATTAAGTATTATATATATTATATTATTAAGTATTGTTAGAAAAATTTATAATTAATTAACTTTTTTTTTTTTCAATGTTTTAGGAAACTTCAGCTGTAAAGAATGAGGTTTATTCTTAGCCGTAATGCTCCGCCCATTGGGCTCTTCAGCCTATATATAGACAGCTAGCTTAATCGCTTAAAAATATCAAAAATATCTTGGTTGAGCTATGAAAAACTTGGACAAGCTTAGAATAAACGCAATACGACAATTCAACTATTTGCACAATTTACTTGAGCTTTTAACAGTAAAAAAATAAGAGCAAAATAAACTAAATAGAAATAAAAATAACGTTGACAGTTTCACAGAAAGCTTAATTTCTTAGCATCACACAGCATTGTTGACTGTTTGCCAGCTGAGACCATATGCTAGCTGGAGTTTTTATTTAATTTGAGTTTTATTGTCTTAATTTGTTGCTGGCCCTCGCTTGGTTTCTATTTCGTTTGCTCATCTCTCTATTTTCTCTTGTTTGTTTGCAGAAAATAAAAGCACAAAGCACAACGAAGTGGAGCAAAACAACTCAAGTTGAAATGGAAAAGACCTTCGTGCTGCGTGTGTCCGAGCTGTCTGCCTGGCGGCAATATTCGCACCTGACCACGCCTCCGACGTGCGCCCAAACATTTGCCTTGCGCCTGCATGCGAAATGTACAACAAATTTCGTGCACTTGAACTGAATTATTGCCATTGTTGTTGCAACTTGGTTGGGTCTTTGTTGTTGTTGTTGTTGTTGCTGTTGCAAATTGTTACTTGGCACGACGACACTCGACGGCCTTTTGACCGGCTTTGCCACTGCAACAACAGCTGCCTCATTGTTTGTCTGCGAGGGGGGGGAGAGGGGGTCGTTCTTGGCAGCTCAGGTCGACGGCAGCTTAAAATATGCAATATGCACACTTAAGCAACTCAGTGGCAGCTGCCGCTCACAGGCGTTCATAATTGCCCAAGCAGTTCGCTCTACGCCTACATCAGCAGCGCATAGCCTTCCACACACACAAACAAACAAACAAACACATACACATACACACACGAGCATTGGACATTTGGCTACTGTGTTTGTGTGACTGCAGCCTGCATACCCTGTATGAAAAGAAAGGGAATTGCAGCTGCTGTCCGACTCTTAGTTATGTGTGTGATATATTTTGCCGAAGCCAGTTGATAGCATTAAGTTAATTATGAGTGGAACACTATTTTAAATAAATAAATAAATTGATTAATAAATAAATAAAATTAATATATGTATTTGAATATTG